TTGCTTTGGAAAGGAGACTCTGCTTTTGTTTCTACAGAAAGCCAGAGGCTACAGATTTATTCCAGATTAAGATACATCAGGTTTGACCAGCCAAGACCACCCGCCAGTCCCAAATGGCGCCCAACGTGGGGCAAGAGTTTCTACCTAAAACCTGAGAAAAGATTCTAAAATGGAGCTAAAAACAGCTTCCTAATTGTGTCTCTCAAATGAGCGGCAGCTGCCGGTTTGAGCTACTTGTGCGTTCCTGGAGTGTGTGCTTAACCTGCAGTAAGGCGGAAATGAGGCCTCTGCAAGTGGCACATTGGTGACAGAGATTTGTCCTGACTGTGGGCAAGGCAGGAAAACTCTAGCTACAACCGTCACCACGGAAGCTCTTTGAGCTCTGTTTTTAAGACCTCTGAACCACGACTTAGAGCCTGCAGGAGAGGCTGTGTGGTGGACTTCAGCACCGCCATCAATAGCAACACTCAGGGAATTACAATGTATGTACATTCCAAGTCGGAAACGCTAGTCTCCAACAAAAAAGACCATTAACTAAACAAAGCGGGTGCATGTTGATATGTGGGCAGAAAGCTTGGAGAACGTGTAGGAACTTCAAATAAGGCAGCTTGGAGAAGAAAAATGTTACCAGCAATGAATGTGTTGTGAAACAAAGTGCAGAGGCTGGAGGAAGCACAGTACAGTCCTGGAGACATAAGCAGGTGGTATTTACACACACACACACACACACACACACACACAGAAGGAAGCAGGTGATGAGATGAATGAGTAGGCAACACACTAATGGTACCAATCCTAAATAAAATGTTAAGAACAGATTGACTTTATGAAAGTATTATCAATACAGTGATGACCCTAATGCTGTAGGAATAAAAAAGGAAGCAATAATGTGTAAACTGGAGATGTTTGCAGTTTTAGGCCTATTGTCGAGTCTGAGATCTATTAATAACTGCTTTCATATTATGGGATGTGTAAACCAAAGTTTATTTATTTGTTTATTTATTTATGGTTTTTTGAAACAGGGTTTCTCTGTGTTGTTTTTTGGTGCCTGTCCTGGATCTCACTCTGTAGATCGGGCTGGCCTCGAATTCACAGAGATCCACCTGGCTCTGCCTCTCAAGTGCTGGGATTAAAGGCAAGCAACAATGCCCAGCTTTTTTTATCTTATTTTTAAAATAGGGTCTTATTATGTAGCCTAAACTGGCCATTAATTCATAATCCTCCTGCCTCAGACTCTAGAGTACTGAGATTACAGACTATAAATGAACTCCAAGTGAATTATTTGGTAATTTTGTGTAAAATTAGGTGTCTACACATTTGGAGGCTATTTCTGGGCTCTGTTCTATTGATCTATTTGCATATATATGTGTGTGTGTGTGTGTGTGTGTGTGTGTGTGTGTAAATTTATTTTTAAAGATTTATTTGAGGCAAGCAGATCTCTGTGAGTTCAAAGCAACCTGGCCTATATAGTTACTTCCAGGCCGGCCAGGGCTACACAGACCTCGTCTAAAGATGAAGAAGAGGATGAGGAGAA